TAAAAACTAAATTTTTCTAATGTTTATATACGTAATGCTAATTTCTTAATGCAACACAATGCAATGAAATTAATTGCATCAATAATGAAAAATAAAAAGTTAACCTTATATATTTCATCTTTTAACTATGCTTGTCAGTGAGAATTGTGCTCTTCAGTATTTAACATCTTCATTGTTTCCAAAATGCTTCCAAAATGTTTCAAAATAATGCACATCTTCATTTTTTTTCTTCAAAGTATCACGCAACACAACACACTTTTATATTGAAAATTACATAAATTTAATGCACATATAATTCATATATAATACAAATATGCTTAATACGAGCTATAGTTTTGGTTGTGCAAAATATGAAATGCTAAAGAGTATGAACGATTATATGAGTAGAAGTTAATTTCATATTAGCAGCTTGAATTTGTGTGAGTAAATGGATAGTCCTAATGGATATAAATATAGTCACCGTCGATGCCACTTATGCATATGAATGTGTATGCGCATACATGGGCGGGCGCGCGCGCGCCCGTGCACTGATATTAGCGAATTTACAGGCATGGAGATCGATTTTGCAAGGAAATCCGACGTGCGATGTTTTTGCCAACTAATGAGGCACGACTAAAGCTACACTCTGCTGATAATTCGAAGGTAAGAGAAGACTAAATTGCTTCGGGCGTTTTCCTCAGGTTCCCTGTATTTTCGTAGCAGTTCCTCCGAGGTATAAGTGGATTTCGAAGCGAGGAAATTTGGAACGTTATCCACATAATTGTGTCTATATTTTAACGCGACTTTCACTTTCTTTCGCAGCTTAATTGGGCTGGACAGATTTGCATATTCTTTGTCTCACGACGAACTGCAAAATTGCTATTTTTAATTTTCCTACAATAAGAAGATATTATTGGGCATACTAATACATTTGAGCATAAGTTTTTTTTGTTTATATTTTGTTTGGATTAAATTGCCGCCCTCTATTTTATGCGAAAATATTGTATTTACGATAATTATCAATTGAAGTTGTAAATATTTCTCAAATTTAAATGCATGTTTCGATTAGCGAGAAAATCAACTCTAGTTCTATTAATTTTGACATTTTATTTCCAAAGAAAATAGGCGAATACAAGTATTTCAATATCAATTTCGTTTTCATCATTCTTCTTATTATTTTAATTTAATATTAATTTTATAAATTAAGCTTCTTTTCAAATAAACTTCTTTAATATTTATTGTTAAAAATATTATCTTCACACTGTTTACCCTTAATTACTAATTTATAGTATATCATTTTAGTTTGTTTGTAAAAGTACTTAAACATTTTGCTGATTTAATTGAAATTTAATTTTTCAAGAATCTTAAATAAGTGTAATATTCTATTACATTACTAGTTTAATTGTTTTTTGTTTTTTGTTTTATATTCAATACTTTTATATATAAAATTATCATTTGACAAATTTACAATATTTTGAATAAGTTTAAAATAGTTTTAAATCATTAAATAGTGTTTTAATTTAGAAAACTAGTTAATATTTAATAAATTGTAATTTATATTTATAAATTTTATTTGCGTTTATGCTATTATATATATATTTATATACGTGTGTTTTAATATGCATATTAATATATAAGTATAAATGTTTGACGTTTACTTTGTATTCTATATATATATATATATATATATATTATTAGCTTTAAATTCAATTTTAAAAATGAGAAACAAGTTCAAGAAACAGTTTCGAACATTTGGTCCTTCGAGTCGGATATAGTGGAAGGTAGCGCCTCTCACCAATGCCATGCACACGTAAAACATTGAAAATTCAAAAGTTACATTTTCATCTCTGCGTACTACGCAACACGTGGCACTTCACCATCAAAAGGAGCATTCGGAGATTTCCGACCTCCTACCCCTCCTTGTATCAACCCACCACTAAAACACAGTAAAAAGAGGTATGCGGAGTTTTACAACCTCCCAGCGCTCTGCAGCGCAAACCAACAACAACATGGCAACCAAGGAAGGCATGGATGAAAAAGATATTAAGAAATCTAGAAAATCCATACTAGGTAGTGCCTCGTCATCACACTTACCCTTTTAGCTCGTTTTCCAGGCAAAAACTCAGTGGGACCGTATCTCATTAATGAAGTACCTGACTGAGGAGGAATGTGTTGTCATCAAAATGCGACATTTTACCAGATGAAATTTTAGATGCATTGTCATACGTCGAGGAACTGCACAAGGACTTCATCAAAGAATACACGTACTTGGAAATGACCTGGCCAGCTACGTATGGTAATCAAGACTTCCTTGTGAAGAATGTCTATGAAGAGGAATTCACACAACACTCGACCACGCGAGAAACTATCAACAACCGCCGTTAAGCCACCAAGATCAAGAGAAAAGACTCGCTAACCAAGGCACAAACAGTAAGGATCCCACTCCCAATCACACCTCCTCCCAAGATTCCAGTAAACCAAGAGGAGTGATATGAGTTTCGCAATCTCTTCAAGGAATTGGTCATAGACAACAATGACATTAGCAATGTTGAAAAGCTGTTTTACCTCCGCACCTCGGTACGGTTAATTTCTGAATTCCCACTGACAAGCGACTCCTTTGCTCCCGCTTGGGAACTACTACTAACAAACCGTCACGACAACAAACGCTTAATCATCCAATCATGCCTCAATCGAGCCTTCTTCGATTTAAAGCCAATTAAAGGGGAATAGGTCGAGTTGGAAAAACTTAGCAACAGCACTGGGGAAGCAATGAAGCAACTCAAGGCATTGGTAGTCATAGAAGAGTTAGAGAATTACATCTCCGTATACCTGATCTCTCGACAACTCTATCATGCCACAAGGGAATTGTGGGAGTCATCAATTAGCCATTCCACCTCATACCCACGACTTAAACAATTGGTAGACTTTCTAACGTATCGGATGAGGACGCTAAACGATATGGACTCATTAAGTGCCTTATCACTCAACAACAGTCACCCCATTTCTGTCAGTCAAAACATTATTGCTCCAATTAGTAGAGGATGAGGGAAGTAGATACACTTGTGCTCTGCCTTCCATCGCTCATGAAAGATATCTTAATGACATTTTTAAAAGTACAGACACAATTATGAGTCCTCTGCATGGCGGGCGGTTTCCCGCTAGCAAAGTCACCACCTCAATCAATGCGGATCAGAATCCAACCACCTCAATTTCATTGGACGATGGCTCTACCAAAATTCTTTGTTTAAGATTGTCTCCTCAACAAGATACGTTCACGTTCACGACAATACAGATGCCGAAGCAAGATATTAACTTCATTAAGCGGCTCATCTTGTCTGAAGTTGCAAAATTATTTGACCCATTAGGTTTTGCCTCACCTGTCGGAGATCAAGGCAAAAATCTTCATGCAGGAGCTGTGGCTACACAAGCTCCAACGGGACGAGTAATGCAGTCAGCACCCTTGACTGCTTGTTAACAGTTGCGCACTTGAGAATTGAACGTGTGTTCCTTGTGTAATGACTTGATAGAGTGAGAGAGAGTGAGAGAGTGAGAGAGTGAGAGGGTGAGAGAGAGTGAGAGAGTGAGAGAGTGAGGGGGGGGGAGGTGTATGTATAACTGAGTGAGTAGCTTATGACTGCGGATTCTGGCTGCTTAGCCTGGCTTCTTAAGATGGATGACTGATAAACTAACTGAATGACTAAATTACAGTGAGCGCCTAAGCGCGGTCTGCTTCCTTCAAATATCCACGCGACAGTTTAGTTAGTTGGCGATAATGCATAGGTGTTGCTATGCAGAAAACATTGCAGGGCGTTCGAGAGTATAAGTTTAGAAGTTTTGGAGAACTCCGAGAAAGCAAGCTTTCGAAGGTTGGAGAATTCCACCGTCGTTGCTATGCGGAGACTAGATAAACATTGTAGGACATTCGAAAGTAAAGCATTAGAATAATTGAGAATCCTCGGAATCAAATGTTTACAAAATTCGAGATCTAGAAGGATTATAAAAAATTCGGAGCGCCAACGTTCTTCTCCAAAGGTCTGGTGCTCCAATCCCGAACATTACAATTACAATTTAACTATAAATTACAATAAAATACTTAATTTATGGGATTTACTGACTTTAATGTATGGGCATATCTATTTTTTATTTTAAGATTAAGTTTCTTTGCTTTTCTTATGTCCAATAGTAAATATTCTGTTATCAAGAATTGCGAAGAAAATGATGATCAAACAATTAACTAATTCAATAATATTTCGTTCTCTATTTAACGTAATTATGTGGAAATTTAAAAAGTCCCTTACGTTGTCAATTATACAAAGACTTTCCAATTGTCAAATATTATGGATTAGGATTCTTTTTTCCATTTAATTATTAAAAATATTTTTCATTTATAATTCTCTTAAATTTTCTTATAAATACAAATAAACATTGCTCGCTTTAACCGAATGATGAAAATAATCTTTAGAAAATGGATACAATACATACAGTATAATTGAAGAAACGTAATTTTCACATAAATAACGTAATTTATTATATTAAGCGACGAGACGAGGAAGAATTTTCATAATTTCAAAATGCAAATTTGCAAATGAATAACATTTTTATCGATTGGTTGAGAAATAAATCTTTCGGCCGACATTGATTTCCATTATGAAAAAAACAGGTATTTTATTTTATTTAAGCAGTAATATTTTGTTATTAATGTACAAGCTTGCATTTGTCACAATTAACGCTTTAAACAATATGAATACTGACAGTCGAACGAATATGACAATGAAATGTTCGTTTAATGCGCAACAGCTAATTAAAGGGGACTAAGCAACTAAATAATATTAAGTGTTTAGAAAATTGTATGCTGTGTGCGTGATATACAAGCGCACTTTTAAAAAGTATAAAATTCCCGCGCTCTTAACAAGGCTTTTCACATAAATGCGGTGGACGGTCACTCGATTGTGAGCCCCGTTTACTTTCTAATAGCTCATGTTATAAACAAGAAAGAAAATGGAAAATCCTCGCGCATTTACCTTTTTCGACGACTGCCTATGGTATCTGTGTGGGTGCAGCATGCATATGTAGCGGTCGATTGCCATGCACACGAGAATGACGGCACTTTGTTGTGTTAGAGCTCCCCGTAGCAATGCCTGGAACACATGTGAATTTGATGTCTCGTGAACTTGTGATTTATGCTTTTGTTCCGGATTACATTCTTATAGTTATTGGCTTTGCGCGCTTTCACTTGCGCAATTTTGCGAGTTTACCTACAGTTACTCGCTCGATTAGGTGCGAAGTAACGGTAATTAATTCCATCTGACAATTATTTGCTCTGTCGTTTTACAATACATTACAATGGTATTCTTAATTTTCTTTTTTCTTTTTATTTTTTCTTTCTTCTTTTTTTTTTTTTTTTTTTTTTTTTTTTTTTTTTTTATCAATTGCTTATTGGATTGGATTAGATTGGAGAAAAGTAATATTCGAAAATCGTCAGATAAGATAATCAGTAAGGCTGGTCAATACTCATTAATCTGCATAAGTATCGCTAGATTATCAATTACTCTAAATTTATTTATAAATATAACCATTATTAATTTGGTTATGAATATGAAAAATATTCTATTATTTTTAGTAATATTCGTCAAATTCAATTAGAATTCCTACAAAGTCACTACGAATATTATACAAATATTCAAAATATATGGTTAGGAAAATATTTGTTAGTTTTCTATGTGAAACATAAGAATATACAATAATAATAATAATAATGATTATCATTTATTAAATTTATCATAAATCTTTATAGGCAAAAATTTACTTTTAATACTTATTCGTATCAATTGAAATTATTGTATTTTTTGTGAAATCTGAAAGGCTTTCTCAAATAATTACGTACATTAAACATTTTATTAATAATTTAAGTATTATTAATTATTGAACGTATTCGCAATTACAATATACAATAATATTTACTTTTTATTTTGTTATTAATTAAAATTTCTAAAATTAAGGAAAAAAGTATTAATAAAAAGACAATTAAAGTTGAAATTCAAATTATTTCTAGAATATGAAATTATACATTGCAACGTCTAATATATATTCTATGATTAATAATGAAACATTTGTTGGAATTTGTTCATTTGTTCATTAACAGCCCCATGGTATTTTTCTCTCAATATAATTATAAATATACCTTTGTAATTATTGAATAATAGTTTGACTTTTTTTAATCGATAATGCATACCTATGATTTCAATATTTCAAGTAAGGAAATTTGTTGTTTAATTTCTATTTTTAATAAAAAATAATAATTCTTTGGAAAAGTAAAAAAAAAAAAAAACAATTAATTAATTATTTTAAATGTACTTATTCAAATAGTAATATGGTTTTTTATACTTAATTTATCCCTAATATTATGATTAAACGTAACATTTTAAATAAATAAGGAGGAATATTAGAAGAAAATTTATAAGAAATCCTCTTAAAGAAATGTCAGTGTTCCATAGTGTATTGTTTAAAATTATTAATCTTAATAAATATGCAATGACTTTCATAATTTAACTAAATTGGCGCATTTTTTACTGTAGATATATTTGTAATATTTTACTTTGAAGTGCATGCGTCAGAAAAGTATTTAAAAATGAATTTTTCTATATTTATACGATAGGTGTCTTGTAAATTATATATATCCTGCATATATTTTTGTCTATTGTTGCAAAAATGTTATAACATTAAAAAAACAAAAAAAAAAAATGCAGCATCTTATTTTTATTTTCTTTTATAAAATATTCATTCGATCAGTTACTGTCGTTTTAAAAATAGTACAAAAAAATTGTCAATACGCTTTTACATAAAATAAAAATATTTAAGTTTAATACAAATGATTATAAACAAGAAAGTTTTTTAATTTTTACATCGAATTTTTATTAATAATATGAGATAAAATTATGCTTTTAATATAATGTATACGTTGTACTATTTTTAATAATTGCTTTGAAATAATTATTATAATCATCTGGTAACGATATTAATCAAATCCATTATATCACATACATAATATTACTTTAAATAATTATTTTACTTCGTCAATAGACTATTTTCAGGCGTTGTATTAAATGTATTATTTTTAATATTTAATCGGAATATAGAAAAAATCTTTGGAGCACTGGGACATTAGCTCTCCTGCGATAGCTGCAGTAATTTGCAATCTTTTTGCAAATATAATACATATCGCTTTATAAATTTCAAATTTATTTTATTTTAGATTTACTTTTTTCTCGAGGCTCTCACGCGATGAAATATAACCGCTGATGGTAATATCAAAATGGTTGAATAAAATAGTAGACGACAAATTCCCGATAGTCAGGCTGGAAGCTGCGGTTTGGCGTTTTAATTTTTGTTTGCAAATGCAAATTGTATGTTTAATAACTGTTTATTAAATCTCAACCATAATGATTCATTCCAACTATGGCTTTATATAAAGAATAACAATAGTTCTTTTTCTTCATTTTACTACTGGTAATAGTTTTTTAATATACTCATGACATTACATTGGGATTAGAATATTTCATTTTATATTAGTTTTTTCTTCTATTCAAGATATTTAGAAATTTTTTAAGCTTTAGAGTTTTATGCGGATTAACGATGTACAATAAATAATACAGGAATTATTATCAAAAGTATTTCTAAATTAATGATTGATTTTAGTATTTTCTTTTTAAATTTCGGAAAAATATTTATCCTAATATTACAATATTGAAAGAAGATTTACATTAAAAAATTGTAGAGACTAATCTGTTGAATTATTTTCCTTTTTAAACAATATTTTTTACCATAATAGGCATTATAATAAGACATTTTAGAATTGGTAGTATTTATATAAATTATATCATCGTGATTAATCAAGAAAAAAAAAATATATATATATATATATATATATATATAAATAAAAAAGATTCGTCATTTAATTTTTATTTTTGTTTGTTCGTAGTAAATTTTGGCGCGAGTTTAGGAAATCTATTGCATTGTTGATTTAAATATAATATTCTTAAGTTATGTAAATATACGGAATGATTTTTCTTTTTATACAGACTATATTATAAATTACTAAACGTTTACCTCATTATTATGTAAATTATATTGTAATATAATATGAACAATAACAATTGAGTATTATCAATAACAAAAAAAACTCTTATATTTGTATGATATTATTTCTCAAGTATAATCAAAGCTAATGTACAAATAGATATTCGCACTCACATAATGTACCATAAAATTATATTATATATATATATATATATATATATATATATAATTTATGTGTAAAAACAAAATTTGTAGTTAACGTGTCAAACGAAAAATTTTAATATAACATAATTACTGAATATTATCCAATGTCCTTTCATTAAATTACGAAAATCATTGCTTTTGATCAATTTAATGGTATAGAAGACAGTGGCTGAAAATTCCTAACTGTTATTTAAGAAAGTAATTTTTTTCACACACTGAATACAAATAATAATATGGTTAAGGTTAATAAATTATATGTATTCATACAAATCACTACAATTATATAACGTTATACCTGCTAATTTATAATAATGTATACAATTAAATATATTTTGTACAGAATATGCACGAAAAAACATAGAATCAATAAAAAATTTTAATATACTTGTATAAAACATACTTTATTAATTATCTTACCATATTTGATAAACACTAATATTTCTATATGTATTATGATAAATATTTATCTCTAAAGAAATTTCATTCTTAGTTTATTAGGGACTGTTAAATAGGAAATGATATAGAGACAATTTTTTAGATTTCTTACTTACAGAAAATAGCGAATTATTATTAATAAAAACTTTTATTAATAAAAATGAATAAAAGAATCGGATCGAACGGGGCTGAATTGCACATTATGAAAGAGACAGAATACATAATGAATCGCACAGGAAGGATAAACGATTTCCGTTTGTACGAATAGTTTATTCTCCTTTATCCCACTCTCATTCTCTCCCTCTCTCAATCTCTCTCTCTCTCTCTCTCTCTCTCTCTCTCTTATTGTATTTCTTTGTTATTTTCATATGTACAATTCGCACAATAATTTACGTTGTACCCTTGTACATCACCTACTTTTCTTTTCTATTCCCATTTCCATTACCACACAAAGTTCATGCTCTCTTTCATTTTTGTCTTCAATCTTTCCCATATATTCCACAATTCTTATATCTCTACATTTCACCATACTGCTTTATATTATAAGTTTAATTTTAATTTTCCATTCTTTTGTATATTATTGTTCTTATTTATTGTCTCAGTCGAGACATTCGAGATATATTGCATAATCATTTATTAAAATTCTTATTAATCTACATATTATACTTTTAATGCTCGATAATGTTTGTAAATGAAAACTATTTTTGTATTATTCTATAATATTTTTCAGAATATATAAATGTATGTACATTTGTTATTTAATTTTAGATTTGTATTAAGTTATTTTTTTAATTTTAATACGTACATACATCCTATTTTTGCTATTTAGAAGAATCGTCCTTTTAATTATTAATATCTTTTAATGTATAAATTATTATTATTATTATTATTATTATTATTATGGACACGATGCTCACACGTACCCATAATATTGCCACATAGGCGATTATTGTTCTATTCTAAAATCTCTTGAACCACAATCTTTAATTATATTTGCATCTTAAATTTACATTAATTATATACCGAATGCATTACATATCTTTCTAATTCGATATTACATTATATTACATATAATTGATAATTTAATTAATATATTAGGAGTTTCATCTAGCTCGCCATGTAAGCAGCTAATCATGGGATATGAACTTTTACTCAACTTCAACGAAAAGTGGATAATGCAGAGAATATCTGGTAGTATTTATTAATGACATGAAATCGTCATTTGAGGTGAAGTGTTTATCGTTTTATATCCGAGTCATAGAATTTGTCTACTTAAAGAATTTTCTATCATATTGACGAGGCTTGCCCGTTCAAGGCACAAAAAAAGGTATAGATGACTAGGTTTAAACAAAGTACTGACAGCGATAGATATATATATATATATATATATATATATATATTTGGGAGGCTGAACTTGAATAAA